CTTGGAGGAAGTCCATGTTGCTAAAGCACGGTCTGGGGGCACGCTCCTGTCCACCCTCACAGGCAGCTCAGAGATAGTTTTCCTGGACTGTTTTCCAGGAATTATGACAGATCATCCACTGGAGAAAACGGCTGTTTTAGCGAATGGGCTCTTACGACGTTATACCTTCCTGAGGTCCCTCGCTTTCTCCCTAACCCTGCCGTCTCCCAGCTCCACCTGCAAATCTCCAGGAATTTCCCAACCCAAAGTTGGCAATTCTAACTGTGTAGCTAGGTCTCCCCAAGGAGGGGGTGGATCCGGAAACTCAAGGGCAGGGTCTGGTTGTGGAGCTCCAGGCCCACTGAAGGGGGTATCCTTCCCTGGCCTGGGAGGTTCATATCTGAAGGGCCATCTCTCATAATGTGGCCCCATGCATCTATGGGGTCTTGAACAGACGATCTGCTGGGGCCTGGGGCATGCTCAGTCATGGCGCTTGCCCAGTGGAGGGCACTGCAGGAGGGCTCCTTCTTTGATGCCTTTCCAAATGAGATGGTGCCAACCAAGCAGTGTTCCCTCTAAGCTGAGTTAGTGTGAGTTTGCTCACAGTTTTTTAAACTCCGGCTCACACATTTTTGTCCTAGCTCAGGAAGGATGGCTCAGTGAAAATAAAGGTTTCCCTTTGCTCAAAAGCTAGTCGAGTCCGACTCTAGGGGGCGCTGCTCATCTCCGTTTCCAAGCCGAAGAGCCAGCGCTGTCTGAAGATGTCTCCGTGGTCATGCGGCTGGCATGACTAGACGCCGAGGCGCACAGAATGCCGTTTCCTTCCCACCGAAGCGGTACCTATTTATCTTCTTGCAGTTTCTTGCTTTCGAACTGCTAGGTTGGCAGGAGCTGGGGGCAGAGACGGGAGCTCACTCCGTCACGCGGCACTCGGGTCTTGAACTGCCGAATTACAGACCTTTCCGTCTGCAGCTCTTAACCTCTGAGCCACTGTGGCCCTATCGGTGAAAATACCCCCACCCTTTTTTTTCAATTTAGTGGCCCAAGACTAAAAAAGCTCTCCAGGGCTTCTGCCAGAGGCTTCCTGCCCCATACAAATTGGTGGAGTGGCCCATACACAGCAGAGAATCCCCTAGCAGCAGCTTGTCAATTTCAGAAAAAGTCTTGTCAGTTTCAACATCATTTCCTCCCCTTTGCCTGTGTTCCTTTCTGGGTGAGTTCAGAGGGCTCTTTAGATCCACGCACCTCATGGATTTAAATGTAATGTCCAGACATCAACATCTGGGAAACGTCCATCTTCCATGAGCATCCCGTTTTGGAGGGCTCCAGAGGGCTCCAGAGCAAACCGATTCATGCAGCAGCCCAATCGCTCGCTCACCACTGTAATGCCCGTAGCTCAACAAGTAGAATTTCCGTTCTCAAGACTCCAGGGCTTAGAGGGAGCGTTGCCCCCAGCCCCCTTCGCTGATTGCATCCCACTCCCCCGCAGGAAGCTTCCCAGGAAGGAAGTGTGTGTGTGTGTGTGTGGGGGGGGTTGCCAGGCAAGCCTTCCCAGGAAATTGGGGGCACTGCTTGGAGGAGAACCGATTAGGCCGGGCAAAGGCGAGCGGGCGGATGCCAGCGGCTAATTAGCAGCGCCGTTCTCAGCAGGCGGGTCTCAGTGCTGGGAAGAGAAGACCTCGGAGGGGCCATTAGCCCCGTGATCAGCCGCACGCGGCTCTCTGGGCCTCCCCCCCCTGCCTCGGCGGGGCAGCCAGCAGAACCGGACCTGGCTGATTAGGTGGGCGCCCGGCCAGCTTCCTGCCGTTAAGGAGACATCCGAATCAGCGGGGCTTTAAATAAACTCTCTTGCAGCAGGAGGGAGGCGGAGCACAGGGCCTCCAACAAGCCCTTCTGGAGGTAGCCGGGGCTCACGGTTGCCAACTCTGGGGTGGAGGATTCCTGGGGATTTGGGGGTGGAGCCTGGGGGGGGGGGGGACGACTGATCTCTGTTGACCTTCTGTGATTCTGGGAGCTCTGCAGGCCGCACCTGGAGGGTGCAGACATTGAAGAAAACAGCCAGTGATGTAGTATTAAAGGTAAAGGTAAAGGTTCCCTTGTTCGAAAGCCAGTCGAATCTGACTTTAGGGTTGCGGTGCTCGTCTCCGTTTCCAAGTGGTTAAGACGCTGAACTGCAGGCTGTGGAAGGTCAGTAGTTCAGCAGTTCGAGACCCGAGTGTGCCGCATGACGGAGTGAGCTCCGGTCTCTAGCTGCAGCTCCTGCCAACCTAGCAGTTCGAAAGCAAGAAATTGCAAGTAGATCAATAGGTACCGCTTCGGTGGGAAGGGAACAGCGTCCTGTGTGCCTTGGTGTTTAGTCATGCTGGCCACATGATCACGGAAATGTCTTCGGACAGCGCTGGCTCTTCGGTTTTGAAATGGAGATGAGCACCGCAACCCTAGAGTCGTATTCAACTGGCTTTTGAGCACAGGAACCTTTACCTTTTACCTTCCCAAGCGAAGTTTTTTCTTTTAGCTGAAGAAGAAGTGTTTCTTTCTCTTAGACTGTACAATTCTAAAAGTATCTATATAGCTGATATGGTTTACAAGGTGCCATTGTTCTTCGTTTAGCCAGAGACATGCGCAGTTATAGCTGGCCCGCCAAGGCCATAAGCCTCAGCAAAAATAGCAAGTTAACATTTTGTTCTTTCAGCACTTTACCTTCCCAGCATGCATCCAGACAACAGTCACAAATGAACCAAAGTTAATAATGCCTGAATACATTCATGATGTCAGAATCATAAATGGCACTTAACATATGCACCATGGAAGTGCTAAGTGCACCCACCAAGACAAACTTGTTAGTCAGTGGCAGAGCATAAAGTGTTTCATAAACTGTGCATACAACAAATGGAAGGTCAGCTTGAACTTTGTTGGAGCCATGTGCACACACAGTCCGTGCGATCCAGTCACGGCCTAGGTCCTCTACAGCTCTCTTGGGCCTCTCCCTGCCTCCCCGCCAAAGGCGCACCCCCTCGTCCGAAGGGGGAGGCTTCAGCTAGGACCCACCCCCGGCCAGGGTGGTGCGGCCTGTTCAAGGAGCCGGCTCTTTTCTAACGGTGATGCCGGGAGAATTCGCTGCATCCGAAGTGGTTCAGGGCAGTTGCAGGCCGGAGTTCCCCGTTTGTCCGAAGCGGTTTCTGTCCCACCACGAAGCTCTGGTTATTTTCACGACTCTGTGTCTCAAAGGAGAGCAGAGAAAACAGAAGGCTCCGATTGCTATCGTCCCCCGGCCCCCGCTCTTTGAGAACTGCTCTTGAGAGAACAGCTCTGAGGGAACTTGTAACTGACCCAAGGTCACACCAGTAGCTGCATGCGGAGGAGTGGGGAATCGAGCCCGGTTCTCCCAGATTAGAGTCCGCGCTCCTAACCGCTACACCAAACTGGCTCCCACGCTCCTGGCTTGCCACAAACTGTGCAAAACTGAATGATTAGAGAGGGCTTTTCTGCACCGGCAAGAGGGTAGCGCTGTACAAAAGGCTTCACAAAGTTACCTGGATTCATTGTTGTGGTCTGTGCTACTGTGTGTCGTTTGCTGCGGGTTGGGTCCCATTGTGTCGTTTTGCGTCACTTAACAGTGTCGTGCTAACACTTACGCTTTTGCTGCAGTTCTGTTTTTTTGGAATTCCGCTTGGATCTGCAGCCCAAATCCTATTGCATTGTTTATCGCGTGTCCTGTCTTGTTGACGGCCTTGACTCCCTCTGCGTGATCCGCCTTGAGTCTCTGTGGGAAAGGCGGACTCTCGGGAATGCAAATAAATGTCTGGATTCGCCCTCAGAGCACCACGGCACGTCCTTCCTTCAACGCGGTGTAGCCCAGAGTAGCTGGGAAACGCTTTTCAGGCCTTTCAGCCCGCGGTGTCTTTGGATGAGAAGTTCAGTGTCCAGATAACACAAAGTGATGGTACCACTTTACTCTGCTCCGGTTTGACCTCACCTAGAGTGCTGTGTTCCGTTTCGGGCACCACAATTTAAGAAGGATACAGACAAGCTGGAACATGTCCAGACTCAATGTTCCCTCTAAGCTGTGGAGTCTTGTGAGCAAAAATTCAACT